TTTTTTCCCCCCCCCCCCCCCTTAGATAGTTTCCTGCGGGTGCCCATGCGTGGAGATGTAGATTAAAATGCAAACTCGATATTATTTTTAAAAAAAAAAAAACATAAAATTGCCCGATGATTTGTTTTTTGAGTTTTTAATAGTGCTATTTAGTTCAATTTAAAGTCTTTGGTAATCTAAGACTAAAAGAAATCTTTAGCGGAGGTGGTTCCCCGGAAGTCGAGTCGGAGAAAATGGCGTAATTTTTTTACTGCCAAAGTGTAATTGTAAATTCTTGTTTTGTTGTTGACGCAATAATATAGCATACTAATAATATAAATAAAAGAGGTAATTCCTTATTTTACGCAATACATTCCATATTTTCTATATAGGATGGACCATTTGGTTTTAATTAATTTGGTGTGACACCGAAATCAATCTAGTTCTTTTAATTAATAATTGAATTAGTTAGTATCAGTCAGGCCTGCCTAAATTTAATATGGAAATGGATGGATTTGCAAATTTAACTCAATTAAGTTTTAAAGTTTTAACTGTTTTAAAATGTAAGATTTGGCTGGTTTGTTTATTGAACAAAACGTAATATGTAACAAAGAACCAGATTTAATGATAATACAGTAAAAGATAAAATATTTTATTTAATTATACTATACTATACTAAATACTAAATTTAAATACTATTAATAATTAAGTCATTAAGTTGATATCTGATATATATATAGGCCTATGCCAATCCTATAGGCCTACTATTATACTATACTATACACTTATACTATATACGAAATCAAATATAGCCTACAGAAATAAAAACTATATTAACTTACATGAGTAGCAGATGAGAATGTATTAATAATTAAATGTAGGCCTATAACGATACAAATATTAATTATTAATACACACTCTTCACACAGTAAAATCTTGTAAAAAGTTTTAAGGCTCCTAACTCCTAAGTATATTAAATTAAAAGTCTCATAATCATTCATAATGATAAATGTCAATGAAATCAAGCAAATCACTGCTGCCTGGGAAAGCTGCCGGGAACCCTCCAGAAAATAAATTCTAGAAATTGCATAATCCCAGCGCATTCTCTACCCTCCATTATTAGAATATATTAAAACGTATTAAAACAACCTTTTCCCAATCCATGGAGAGGTGGAAAGTTGTTGAGTGCTACACTTTTATCGGTGACGTCAATATCAAAACAAAAAGAGGGCAGATAAATGAACAAGATTTTGGTCAACACACGGGCTGTAACAGACCATTACACTGTGTAATTATTAGCACAGTTTATACATATACATATGTCTTATAAAAGTATTATTAATAATATTAATATAATCATACTGTCCACTGCCTAGTCTGGCTCCTGTCTAGTGTCAAAATAATACACTACACTTGACTACACAGGTGAAAGTCAAAAGTCAGTGTGAGTCATTAATGACATTAGGGCTGCCGGTACTTAGTCTTTGAAAGATTATACTTTTAAGGTGTAGGGTAAAAAACGAACATTATAACAACAGTGCTTTCAGTGCCAACATCACATTATTCACATACATATATATTGATAGTAAATTGCTTAAATGTACCCGTACAAAAAATGTAAAAAAAGTGCTAGCTACCCCCTACACAGTGGCATATGAATTATGAAGAGTTGGGGGGGGGGGGGTTCAGGTAGTCCCCCACCTATGGCACTTGTTTTCTTTTTATGAAGGGACTGCCTTTTTGGGCAACTGCAGAGTTTTACGTTTCGACAGATGTCATATGAATTATGAAGAGTTGGGGGGGGGGGGGTTCAGGTAGTCCGCCACTTATGGCACTTGTTTTCTTTATATGAAGGGACTGCATTTTTGAGCAACTGCAGAGTTTTGTTTTGTGGAAGGGCGGCAAAAATTTTGGCCAACACTGGATGTCACTAACTTCACTAATGCCACTCCCCCTGTGGTTGCAAAACTAACAGTAAAAGGACCAAATAGATATTAAACTATTCAATTTTAACTAGACTTACTTTTTAACTTACTAGTTAATATTGAATATAACGTAAGCCATAAAATAAACTAGTAGTTGGCCTAAATGAGAATCCATTATAATCCAAGAAATGGAATGTACCAATACGCCAATATTTAACTCAAAGTGCTGCTCAAAACCAAGAAGCTCCTTATTCATTATGGTAACAGAATAGATTTCATCCTTCTCCATTGGCACTTATTTTTTCAAAGGTTTGAAAAATTACAGAACAGACCATAGACATATCTTATAAGCATTTTGCAAAATTCAAATCTTAGTTTTCAGCTTGAAGTTTGGAAGTCGATGACATCCATCCTTGCTCCTCAAATAATTTTCAATTGCTTCCATATGATTTTTACTTTTCCTCAATCCTGTCCATCTTAGCCTAAGCATTTATTAGAAATGTCACAAATAACTTGCATTGTTGGCTATGCTGCACTACCATTCTGTAACAAATAAGAAGGAATCAATTATTGCACCCACACACAGCAAGCCACAGATAGTTTTTGCATGACATCAACTAATGCTTATAGTTACAAATGAAGAAAATGGAGAGAGTGCTGATTGGATAGAAAAGAAGAGCTTGATCTAATTGGAATATCCATTCCACTAGATCAGGAGTCTCAAACTCAAATCACCCGGGGGCCGCATGAGGTGGAGTCCAACTGAGACTGGGCCGCATCAAGTATTCCACAAAAGCGATTACAAATTCAATAAAGTGCAACTGTTACAATCTGCTCAACCTTTATTAATACAGTAACACATAAAAACATTAAGCCTTTACTTTATTCCCTTTCTTCCTCCTACTCCTTGTTGCCAGAGACCTGGCAGCACATCTTCTGACACAGCTGAGCAACATTTGGCTGGAGTGAGGAAGCAACTGAGACCCTCAGTATAGCTTGAAGATGCTCATCAGGAAGTTTGGCCCTGAAATTTGACTTGTTAAAGTTCTTTATGGAAAAGGGCTTTTCACACAGATAGGTACTCCAAAAAAGACACATGATCCGCTTGAACAACCTGGAAATCTCAGTGAAGGTGGAGGGCAATGCTCTTATAAATCGTCCATACTATTCTGTTTTTCCATTCATCTCCCTGAACTGAGAACTTCACTGAAGATCAATCAGCACCATTTGAAGCGGAACACATTTTTTTTGGGGGGGGGGGGGGGATTCTTCCACTGAGAAAGTGTCAGCAAAAAGCTGATAAGTGGCTCTGTGTGTTTTTAAGTCTAAAAACATGTGATCGAATTCTTCCTATAGCTTTGCAATGGCATCAGTATACTTACTACTTAATGGTGTGCCCGATTCAATGAGTACTTTGCATGTTGGGAAAGGGCAGAGGTTTATCTAAGAGCCATACACACGTTATGTGCAGAATGCCCTGACAGTGTCATAGGCAACACTAACAATCTACCTCTGGTCATGTAACTTCTTGTTGAGTAAATTCAGCTCCTGTGTAATGTCAACAAGAAAAGCCAAGTTCATGAGCCATTTGGCATCTTTTAGTACAGAAACAACCACCTCATCCTTCTCCACGAAGGCTTTAAATGCTAAAATGTGTTAAACAGTAGACTGGAGTAGGTAATATGTATGTATTATTGATGCGAAGGAAGATGCTATTGTAAGGAAAATGAATTTTGATATTTTATCGTAGAAAAGGCGTTTTTGACTAACCCTATTTTGAAAGTGACCAAGCTGACAGGCTCGTAATTTCCCTCACTCGTAAACACTAGTGGCAATTTTAATTGGGATTCTTTGATATTGTGTCAGATTGCTACGATTTACACGATTATGGTTGTGTCTTACCCACCTACTGACTTTTTAAACTTTTCTCAAAACCTTAGTTTGGCAAGTTTGTCTCACAAAATGCTATAAAACTTTTAGTTCGATTTTAAAATGGTTTTTACCTTACACCATGTATAATCATCGTCCAAAACTTTACAAACATAATAAAAATCAGAATTAGACTAGTCGGTGGGATTCGACTGAAACCGTTGCGGAGGGTCACACAATAGATATAAGAAAGGGGAAAACGCGTGGGCTGCATTAACACTAAACTTTGTTGTCATGTGGCGGGTGGCAAAATATCGTCTTGCGGGCCGCGAGTTTGAGACCCCTGCACTAGATGAAGTGATCCATGTTCTACCTAATTATTCCATGAAGGAGCATTTTTCTTAGACCAGGAGATAATTAAGAGGCAATCATTTAGATTTGCAATAAAACATTGGTTGAAGGCGGTTATTATAATATTTCTACACCCTCCATTTTCTTATTTTATCTACAAAGTTTCAATTATTTTATGGCTAAAACAACTATTTTTTACAAGATTGTGCATAGGAAATTGACGTTTTAGCTAGACATTTAGATGCTATTAAATTTTATCATTCTGTGTATGTTGGGCAGCTGTTGTTGGAAATGGGTCTTAATTATTTTAAATCAAGCAAAATAAAAGTTAAAAAGCCCACAGTTATCAAATGTTTCACTCTGAATACTTTTAGTACCATATCAACGTGTTATAGTTGTTTAATATTTCCCAAGATGGCCTCACCTGTTAGATGTTCAAGCAAAATTTATTTTTATTGTTGTTTTTCAATAAAGTTGTTAAAAAAATTATTTTTATCATAAGAAATGAATGGCCAATAATTATCATAAGCATCTGAAGCATATCATCTAGAAAAGTAATGAACTGCTTTATTATGATCATAAGCTTTGCAAGAAATGTGATCTAGCAAATTGTTGAACTGCTAATATTACTAATATGTTAAGTTAACAATGTGAACTGCTTATGTAAAGTGAACTATGTGAACTACTAATGTAAAGTGAGTGAACTACTAATGTAAAGTGAACTGCTAATTTAAAGTGAACTGTGTGATCTGCTAATGTAATGTGAACTACTAATGTAAGTCAACTATGTGATCCATCCAATTATTGACCTGCTGCTCGTGTAAAGTGAACTATGGATTCCAGTTGTTAGGTTCAAACTGCTGGGTGATGTGTTTTCAAGTAATTACTCAAAGTATTGATTCAGACAGATCTTCGTTATCAATGTAGAAGAAGTGCATGTGTATAGACTAGATCTTAACAAAATAGAAATCTTTGTATTTGGTACAGTACAACCAGTATTTGGTACAGTACAACCAGATAGACAAAATACACATATTTGTATAAAGGTATTTCAGCTATCTGCAGTTTATACTGTGTCCCTTTTGCCTTTTCTAACTTTTTGGTATAATTTATTTTTTCATTACAAAATTGTTACATTTGAAAATAGAATGCTATCTACAATTTTCCTTAGATAAAATTAAGAGATAAATAAAATATGTTTGATTTTAACCAAAAAACCACATTCTGCAGTTTAATGAATAATGAAAAACCTCATTCACCACAACCTGTGAATGTTTAGCTCAGAAAAGTAAACATTTGTTTATATTTACCAACCTTATGTTTGTATTTAGTCATCAAATCAGGTTGTTGTTGGATTGCAATTTTCTGTTGAATAATGCATGGAGTTTCCAGTACACTTTTGGATGGTCTGGAATTTATATGATACAAACATTAATCCTTCTCTGTGTTAATATATGAGGAATTGTGTTCAAGCCCAGCCGTGTGAAGTAAATGAATAGTGGAACAGGATATGTTTGGGCTTGAAATAAATACAGGACAAGATTAACTATCATGTTTACATTGACTTTGTTCTATTATTTTGTATCAAGTTATTTCATTGTATTTGCTCCAAATAGCATGTTTGGAGATATTATTGTACTTTTAACGTTGAGAATGTGCTTTTCTAATACAAGTGTCATCTTTTATATAGTAGAACAGGATGTGTAAACGCTTGAACGGTAAGACATTACAATCAAAAGAATGTTCTGACTGAAAGCCTTTATCGGGAACAAAACATCAAGAAATAAAAAGAGGATGAAAAGAAATCTTTTATTTATAAAGTTTAATTTTCAAACCTGTATCTGTACCTCAATAACGTGATCTAATTTTTGTATATATACAGGTTGAGGTCGTGTCTTTGTTTGTCTACTTGTCGAGGTTGTGTCTTTTTGTCTACACACAGAGGTCGTATCTTTGACTTGTAGTCTTCAAATTTTTTCATATTAATTCTTATCTTAATATTTTTATATTAACAGGGTGTTTTGAAATTAGCATCATGAGGCTCCAGCAGTTATGACACAAACGATGACCGATTAGCAAATAACGAAACAACTCTGCACCGCCATTTAACTGTCTGGTCATGGAGGGCTGCTGTTTAACTATCTGATCATGGATAACTGGGTGCCCAACCCTCAGGCTAAACCGTTTCTACCTCACTCAAGATACAGATACAACCATCTTGGTGGTGTCACTGTACGAGATCTGACAGGCCGAAGGTGCATTGGAAAGTTTTTCAAGGTTGGATTCAATTCAATGTTATCTGTCTTTTTTTTATTATTCACTGGGGAGGGCACTGTACTTTCTGTGTATATAAAAACTTATTTAAAACTTGGGGAACTGTAACTGACAAACTTAAAAGAATGAAGAATGGTCAGACGCGAAAATACAAGAGCTGGTTGTGCATCATAAAATTATCTTTAATCGCATGCTCCCGGAATTTATTTTGAAGATGTGATCATGTATGGTGCAGGAGTTTTTCTTCACATCATTCATCTCAATATCATGCTCCATGTATTTAGTTTGAAGACTTGATCATGCATGGTGCAGGAGTTTTTCTTCACATCATTGAATATCATGCTCCAAGTATTTAGTTTGAAGATGTATTGTTCAGGACGTTTAAAAAAACTGTGGCATCAAAACGTTTAACAAGTGTACAGGTTTTTAAAAAGTTCCCTGAAACATAGTCTAACTTATATACTTGAACGGTTGATTTTACCAGCTAGAAGATTTACCACAGTGAAGTTCCTCTCCTGCATTGATTGATTTGTTCAAGTCAGTAACAGTTGTGCTCAGTTATAGGCACAGCAGCAATTAGAAATATCTTAGCAAAAATCCATGCTTGTAAAGTGGGAAATTCTACACACTAAAATTGATCCAAATTATTTACTAGTTAAGTGTTAGTTGCAGGTCAAAATTTTCACTACTCATGTTTTTAATTGGCCTTAGAAAATTAACTTCTGTAAAATCCATATGCAGCCATAATGTATAGAGTTTAAATAATGTTTTTCGGCACAAAACAATGGTCATCAAGCTCTCTACATAGCAGGCCTGTTCAGAACCTTCGCTCTTTACCTAGTTGTTATTGCTAGTAGATCAGTGGTTCTCAACATGTGGGTCATGAACTTCAGCAATTTGATTTTTTTTTAAATATTTTTTTAATCTTAATTGTACCACATTTCATTTTGAAATTTAAATGCTATTATTATTGACAAGGATCGGGTCATTGTCTTATTATGGACACTGTGACAACTCTACAGTTCCTTATAAAAAGATTCATTCCGTAGATAAAGACGTCAAGATTTATTTTTAATATTTTGACAATTATTTTAATTTTATTAATTACATTTATATCATACTGATTTTTTTCCGAATTTTTATTTTCTTGTGTTTGGTTTTTTTTACTTTTGTTGCTTAAACTTTAGGCTAACATTGGTTTAAAATCGTTTCATTCTTTTAAAAAGTAAAAAAAAAAACACCAATGACTATAAAAATTTGAAAATTGATCCCAATGGATTTAATAAGCAAGCAAGTATTTTTTAAAAAAAACTATAAGCTATACATGAATTTAAAGTCAATAAGGGCCCAATAAACAGCCACTTAACGTCTCAACACTTGTTTCTCAATTCCTGGTTGTTGGTCGCCGCAGCTTGGCAAATGTATCGGGGGGGGGGGGGGGGGTCACGGCACTACACACTGAACACACCCCAATCTTTGTATTAATTAGCATATGTGAAGAGTCAACACGCCTCGTGAACAAACAGCACACCTCCATCTTTGTATTAATTGATATTCGTGAAAAGGCAACATACCTCAATCTTTTTATTAATAAAGCACTTGTGAACAGTCAGCTCACTTCCATCTTTGCATTGATTAACATCTTTGTACAGTCAACACACCTCGTGAACCGACAATACCCCTCATCCAACTTTGTTCTTGCATTTCAGGCTGGGCTGCTTGTTATCTTGTTGATCACTGTAGCCATCAATCTTTTGTACATCTTTGACACCAGTAAAAAGTTATCCAATAAAGAACAGCCGATCAGTAAGTTATGTCATCAAACTGTCCTGTTGTAGAAGGATTTAAACAAGGGCTAATTCCATTATTTCATTTTTTTAATAAATGTGATTACTTGCTAGTCATGCAAAGGAACCACTTCATAAGAATAGAGCCAACGTGTGCTTTAACATGGGTAGTTTATTTAGTTGTTTTTTTCAAAAATCCAATTATCATTTTTCTATCAGCTTTTGAACAAAATATCTGTTATTTCACACATTTCCTTTTATAACCAAAAACTAAAATTACCCGTGAAACAATATCAATGAAATAACTATAAAGAATTGACATTTTATTGAAAATGATTAAACAACTAATTTTGGGCATAGAATTTGATATTATTTTTTTTATCAATTTATTCCCACAGATGATAACACAGGAACTGAAGAAACACACAAAACTGGCAGTCACAGCCAATCTCGATCTGTTTTCATTGATGTGAGGTCAAGCAAGGAGTCTGTATTTATAGCAGTTGATGGCACCACAGTAAGATCTATGGACAATCTCTACTGGTTCTTAAGCACAATCTCTACTGGGGGTTCTTTAGCACAATCTCTACTGGTTCTTTAGTACAATATCTAATGATTCTTTAGCACAATCTCTGCTAGTTCTATAGCACAATCTCTAATGGTTCCATAGTACAATTGCTTATGGTTCTTTAGCATAATCTCTGATAATGTTTTAGCACCTTCTCTTCAGGCTCTTTAGCATAATCTCTACTGGTTCTTTAGCACAATCTCTACTGGTGGCTCTTTAGCACAATCTGTACTGGTTATTTAGCATAATCTCTGCTGGTTCTTTAGCACCTTCTCTTCTGGTTCCTTGGCACAATATCTGATTCTTTAGAACAATCTCTAATGGTTCTTTAGCATAATCTCTGCTGGTTCTTTAGCACCTTCTCTTCTGGTTCTTTAGCACAATCTCTAATGGTTCTTTAGCACAATCTCTAATGGTTCTTTAGCACAATCTGTACTGGTTATTTAGCATAATCTCTGCTGGTTCTTTAGCACTTTCTCTTCTGGTTCCTTGGCACAATATCTGATTCTTTAGAACAATCTCTAATGGTTCTTTAGCATAATCTCTGCTGGTTCTTTAGCACCTTCTCTTCTGGTTCTTTAGCACAATCTCTAATGGTTCCTTAGCACAATCTCTACTGGGGATTGATTAGCATAATCTCTGCTGGTTCTTTAGCATCATCTCTGCTGGCTTTTTAGCACAAACTCTACTGGTGTTTTTTTGGCACCGTCTCTACTGGTTCTTTAGCCCAATCTCTCCTGGTTCTCTAGCACAATGTCTACTGGTTCTCTAGCACAATGTCTACTGGTTCTTTAGCACAATCTCTTCTGGTTCTCTAGCACAATGTCTACTGGTTCTTATGCAACCCTTTCTGAATGTCATGGAAATGCTCAAGTATATTTATTCCTTAAAGATGAGTCTCTACTTAAACTGTTGCTGGACCATTTGATCAAACAGGTTCTACAAGATGAAGGCTTTGATGTGCACAGAGGGATCCATGTTGTCATTCTCAATCAAGCTACGGTAAGAAAAGACATTAAAAACTTGTGTTGTGAGTTTGACATGCTGTGTTTCTCAGTATTCCGCATCGTACAAATTTTGTTGCTTTAGATTCAGAAGTAGGCCTAATATAATAAAGAGCTAATCAGTCCTAACCTTTTCCAGGATGAAACTTAAGTTATACAAAAAATGTTTTAAGATATACACAGGCCGAAATTAATTTTGTGTTTATGATATGATAACAGCTTATTTTATGATATCATTTTATAAAATAATAAGTTGCTTTAAAGTTAAAATAATAATTTCTGTAAAACAAACAGATGAACAAGAAAAATAAAATTTAAATCATGCTAGTTAACCAGTTGCACAGTAACATTTTTAAGGCATAAAAATAATTTTAAACTCAAACTAACATGGATTGATTCTGCTAAAGAGTTTAATTAATTCAAGAAGCTTGATCATAAAAATGGTTGTAAATATCAATCTGTTTGTTATGTTCTTTTTTTTTTTTTTTTAAACCACTCTTTTAATGATTTTATTATGAACTTTCAGGGTAGCATCATGGCTAAGAGAGTATTTGATACATACAGCCAGCAGGAGGACGATGCCATGGTTCTATTCTTGAACATGGTTTCAGAAGGGAGGATCGTGGTCTTTGCCATTAAGGTCTGGCTCTTAAGCCTTTCTTTTACAACTTCAAGTTCATTATAACTCTTTTAAAATGATATTCAAATGAGAGCAGTGCTAGCAATTTAACAAAATGTGTATTTCAAATTCAAATACCTGAGAATTTTAGCCTACAACTTGCAATGACACCTTCAAGGTAATTTAATGGGGTAAATAAAAATAAATTATAAAAATTTGATGCTAGTAAAATTTTCATTCCAGCCATGGTGAGATCATACTGGAGTCAGGGAACCCCAGCACACACAAGATTCAGAATAAGTCAGCAGCAGAGATGTTATGTTATGTAATGGGGAAATATACAAAATCCTAGGGAAAATTGAGCACGAACATTTATTAAAATGATCCCAATTATTCTAATTTCTTTGGTTTTGATCTGTTCAGGATGAGGGCTCATTCCAACTCAAGACGCCAGCTCGGGAGTTTCTCAAGACATTAGGCAGTGACGAGGCGACCAGCCTCGGATACAGGGACATGTGGGCGTTTGTGGCTGTTAAGGGAGGTGGGAAACATCTCAGTTAAATTTGTTTGACTTCAGAGATCAGCAAGGGTAGATTGGTGATTAGGTTTATGGGTAGATTGGTGATTAGTTTAATGGGTAGATTGGTGATTAGGTTAATGAGTAGTTTGGTGATTAGGTTTATGGGTAGATTGGTGATTAGGTTTATGGGTAGATAGGTGATTAGTTTTGTATGTAGAGTGGTGATTAGGTTTATGGGTAGATTGATGATTAGGTTTGTCCACACAAACACATTTAGTGGACCACACAAACACATGTAGTAATCCACACAAACACATTTAGTTGTTATAAAACTTACTGAAGCACCTGGCCAACTGTCCCTTACATACACTGTTATATTTCATTTTCTTCATGGAGTTATAATTTTAATTAATTTAATTATTCAACTTAGTATTTTCTGCCAGTTTCTCTGTTGCCTTCACAGGCATACCTCTCATTTACATATCTCTCATTTAAATAGCTTTCATTTACAAAATAGGAATGTGTGTTAATGCATGCTTAAAACTGAAGTCATGTGACCAGGGAGTCATTGGGCTCAAGTTTTTTTTTAAGGATATGGCTGTAGCTGTACTTTTTCAACTAATTTTTGTTGTTGTTAATTGTATTTTTTTTTCTGCAGGAGCAAAGATTGGAGAAAAACATAGCAAAGCAGCTAATTTAAACTCATGGGGAGAGAGAGTGGAGCTGAAAGTGGAGGTACCACTTGTTGAAGCAGGAGGTATTCATTTATTTGATTAAGTGCATTTTTTGTGTGATCCATTTGTTTATTTTCCATATTCAGTAATTTTGTCTAGTTTAGCATTGTGCTTGAGTTCCTCTGGGTGATGCCATAAAAACTTTAAGCATTCAGTAATAAGGGGGGGGGGGATGAAGACTGCAATCAGGTTAGCAAAAAAGGAAGTGGGTGAAACAAAGTATAGGAAAACCTGAAAAAAAAAGGAATGCATTAAAACAACACATTTTTCGGCAAGAAGTCTTCATCAGCAAACAAGCAACAGTAAAAATGGAATTAAATAAAAATAACACTTAGCTGAAATGTAGTATCCCAGAGGGCAGCAAAAGGACTGTGAAAAGTTAAAAAAAAACCAAATGCTGCTCATTTCTAGTAATCGTTACACTGAATATTTCCAGGAAGTGAATGCTCTTGGCCAGACAACGAAGAAGGCAGAAGAAGAAAAGGGTTCTGCAGCAAGGTTGAAGGCTACGGAAGTGTGTGTAACTGTGAGGGCCCCGCTCCAATCAGTTTCCAGCCTAACAAAGTGAGTTCGCAATTTATGTCTACAGATATCAATTTTCTGTCTCGAATGAGTTGTAAGTTTATCAAAATACTTAATTCTCTATGCAACAATGTCACTGACGCCACCAGATGGTGCTGATTTCACTAAGTGAAGTTCCCAAAAACTGCGCTAAATGAGATTTAAATACAGCAAGTGTGTTTGGTGCTTTACATCTGTAGATAGGATTGGACAGAAAAGGTCAAACAAAACGGGTTGTTACAAACCTAATTCTTACTTAATAGGTTCGTTGGCTTCGTTGTCTGGGGGGTTTAATTATATACACTTCACAACTATAATTCTTAGATGAAATACCTTTATTAATCAACTAATTCCTCAACTGCCGTTACTGTAATCAAAGAACAACACCCCACACCCAAATCTACAATAATAATACGTCATATCCCTTTCCACACAATACGTCACAAGATACTAAGAATAATAGATAAAACAACACACATAATCTCAAACCAACAGGCAATTACACTATACACTCAATTCCCTATCACGGGTCAAACACCACGCAGGCTATATATAGATATGCCAGAGTGTGGTTAAATAATGAGTTCACTAGCCTAGCGCGCAAAATATTATTCCCGATAACTACGCTAAATGATATATCTATTTTTAATAACGCAATTGCGTTTGGTGCGTAATATTTTCTTTTCGGAAATGAAATCGTCTCAATTTAAGTATTGTGTAAAAAATATTCGGATTAAAAGTGGTTGGGACATGAGAGTATTAATATAGTTCATGGGCGTGAAATAAAAAGTTTGCAGTGACGTATCATTGGGGGAAGGGGTGTAGCAAATATTGGGATTCTTTTAAATGTGCATTACTAGATGGCAAGTTCACGCATTGCTGTTGCCAATGTTTGGCGGGCTATATCTAGTATCTTTTATTTTATGGAAATAGTCTCAATGCAAATATGGTGTTTTAAATGTGCGTTATAAAAAGGGGGGGGGGTGAGATATTAGAATATAAATATAGTTAAGGGGCTGGGAAAAAACGTGTGGTTGCCAACCTGGGGTTTCCAACCTGGGGAAGGGGGAGTTTAGCACCAATTGGGATTCTTACAAAGTGTGTTACTTGAATGCATGTTTTTTCAAGTAACTTTATAAGATTGGAAGCTCACTCCTAGCCGCGGGCAATAACTAGTTATCTTTATAACTGAGTAAAAATGATCAACTTTTCATTCAGGATCAAAATTTAAAATGCATGGTAGGCTGCCTCTGGCAATAAGTCTGACAAGATAAATAAGCAAATGAATTTTTTTTTTTTTTTTTTTTTGAACCTACCAGTAAGTTTCTAAATGCTGGTACCTCAGATGCTAGGAACACTTACAACTGGCGGGCTGATGAAAACAGGCCACACGCCCATCCATCTTGTCATACTATATTTTTTTTGAACCTACCAGTAAGTTTCTAAATGCTGGTACCTCATATGCTAGGAACACTTACAACTGGCGGGCTGATGAAAACAGGCCACACGCTCATCCATCTTGTCATACTATTGCCAGAAGCGGGCTACTTTTTCATAGCCCACCGTGTAGCTTCCACCTAAGTACATGCACATCCTTGTAAGATAAATATAGCTAATCGAATCGGCAAGCTGACGAAGAAATAAATGGTTGTAAGTTTAAGTAACATCTTGTTTTTATACCCAACAGCTGCAGGACAACAAAATCTCTGACATTCCAATAGCTGTCATAGCCAGTGATAGACCACACTATTTGTACAGGTAACAATAGCTGTCACAGCCAGTGATAGCCCACGCCATTTCTATATATAAAAATAGCTGTCACAGCCAGTGATTGCCCACGCCATTTCTATATATAAAAATAGCTGTCATAGCCAGTGATTGCCCACGCCATTTCTATACATAAAAATAGCTGTCACAGCCAGTGATTGCCCACGCCATTTCTATATATAAAAATAGCTGTCATAGCCAGTGATAGACCATACTATTTGTACAGGTAACAATAGCTGTCACAGCCAGTGATAGACCACACTATTTGTACAGTTAACAATAGCTGTCACAGCCAGTGATTGCCCACGCCATTTCTATATATAAAAATAGCTGTCACAGCCAGTGATAGACCACACTAAATTATTTGCATAGGTCACAAGAATATATTTTACAATAACATAATCTGATAATTTAGTGCAATGGTTCCCAACCTGTTTGAAAATTAATGATTTCAAAGAAATGTTTGTTTCTAATCAGTGCATTAAATTTGAATATCATATTTTCCTCTGCCTTTCCTGTCAGGGGATTTTCAAATTTTCTTCTTTAGGAAACTGATGAAGTGACATAATAATGTCAGAATGACACAAGGTTAGCATTAATCAAAAGTCAATTATGAATTTTAAAACCTGTTAATGAGTCACAATTTCATTTATAGCATCAATTATGGCGATTTTATTGTATTTATATTGAACTGAAAAGTCTAATTTCAGTGTGTTTTCTGTTACCCTATATAATACTGTGCAAACCTTTGTTTAACCTTGTAACAGGATGCAAACCTTAATCAGGAATAAAATAATAAGAAAACAATGCTTGTGTATATATTTATTATGCTGCAATAATTCCTGATGTAAAGTAAGAATGGAAAGAATTGGAAAGAGTTAGAGAAGATAGGAAAAAACAGTAAGGCGTGGAAAGATATTGGTAATGACCTATGCTCCACTGGGACTAAAAGTTGGCAAGATATTGTTAATGACCTATGACCTATGCTCCACTGGGACTGGGAGTTGGAAAGATATTGTTAATGACCTATGCTCCACTGGGAGTTGGAAAGATATTGTTAATGACCTATGCTCCACTGGGAGTTGGAAAGATATTGTTAATGACCTATGCTCCACTGGGAGTTGGAAAGATATTGTTAATGACCTATGCTACACTGGGACTAAAAGTTGGAAAGATATTGTTAATGACCTATGCTACACTGGGACTAAAAGTTGGAAAGATATTGTTAATGACCTATGCTCCACTGGGAGTTGGAAAGATATTGTTTATGACCTATGCTCCACTGGGACTAAAAGTTGGAAAGATATTGTTAATGACCTATGACCTATGCTCCACTGGGACTGGGAGTTGGAAAGATATTGTTAATGACCTATGGCCTATGACCTATGCTCCTCGGGGAGTTATTTTCAAGTCTTAAGTTTTCTTTTCCCAGGTTTTGTTAAATTGTTTGCTATATTCCACAGAATGTTACAAACTTTACTCTGTTATGTTCCACAGAATGTTACAGACTCTACTCTCCGTGCCAGGGGCAAACCCTAAAATGGTCACTGTATTTATTGATGGCTATTTTGAGGTATGGAAACTATTCTTTAAAAAAAAATGATTTTCTTACAATTTAGCGATTGAAAAAAACTCAATCATTTCTGTTAAGTCAGTTAACCACTGTCTTTGGCGGAGGACCACAAGTTAAGGACCCAAAAGGTTAGGACCACAAGCCAGGATCACAAGCTTTGGACCACAAACTAGGATATCGGCTAGTTTTTTTGGAAGCACTTGCTGTGCAAATATCATTAATTGATTAAGTTAAATGATGGACAAATTTGTGTTGAAAGTGTTTCATTGTTTGGCCCTTTGTTATTTAACACAACTTTTTTTTTTATTTAGGATTTTATATCCTGTGTACCTTGTCTATTTCATGAGCGCTATGCCAATAGTTTGTGTACCCCGTCTGTTGCAGGAACCCTATGCCAATAGTTTGTGTAACCCGTTTGTTGCAGGAACTCTATGCCAATAGTTTGTGTAACCCGTCTGTTGCAGGAACCCTATGCCAATAGTTTGTGTAACCCGTCTGTTGCAGGAACTCTATGCCAATAGTTTGTGTAACCCGTCTGTTGCAGGAACCCTATGCCAATAGTTTGTGTAACCCGTCTGTTGCAGGAACTCTATGCCAATAGTTTGTGTAACCCGTCTGTTGCAGGAACCCTATGCCAATAGTTTGTGTAACCCGTCTGTTGCAGGAACTCTATGCCAATAGTTTGTGTACCCCGTCTGTTGCAGGAACCCTATGCCAATAGTTTGTGTAACCCGTCTGTTGCAGGAACCCTATGCCAATAGTTTGTGTAACCCGTCTGTTGCAGGAACCCCATGCCAATAGTTTGTGTAACCCGTCTGTTGCAGGAACTCTATGCCAATAGTTTGTGTAACCTGTCTGTTGCAGGAATTCTATGCCAATAGTTTGTGTACCCCGTCTGTTGCAGGAACCCTATGCCAATAGTTTGTGTAACCCGTCTGTTGCAGGAACTCTATGCCAATAGTTTGTGTAACCCGTCTGTTGCAGGAAGCCTATGCCAATAGTTTGTGTTAACCCATCTGTTGCAGGAACCCTATGCCATCACAAAGTTGTTCGGTCTGAGAGGTATTCAGCATACACCGTTAGGCCTGAAGAATGCCAGGATATCTCAGCATTACAAAGCAAGCCTTACAGCAACATTCAATTTAAATCCAGTGAGCTTCTTTTTGTTCAACAACGATTTTATTTCTTCAAATTATGAAGTATTTTAGATATGAGTTATTAGAACATATTTTAGATATAAATTATGCTGAATTATTAGAAGGTATTTTAGATGTAAAATGAGGATGAATCATTAGAACTGAGACTTCCTACAATAACCAAATCCTAATTCAAATTTGTATTAAAACCTACTCATTGAGTACATATTTTCTTCCAATGTTAAATGAACATAAAAAGCATTCTCAATTATTCCTATTTATGTGTCCATCCTCTTCTCAAACATGTTTGTATCCGTGTGTCCATCTTATTATCAGAAATTGTATCCGTGTGTCCATCCTATTCTCAGACATGTTTGTATCCATGTGTCCATCTTATTATCAGAAATTGTATCCGTGTGTCCATCCTATTCTCAGACATGTTTGTATCCGTGTGTCCTTCCTATTCTCAGACATGTTTGTATCCATGTGTCCATCATTTTCTCAGACATGTTTGTAACCATGTGTCCATCCTATTCTCAGCTATGTTTTGATCCATGTGTCCATCCTTTACTAAGACATGTTGGTATCCATGTGTCCATCCCATTCTCAGCTATGTTTGTATCCATGTGTCCATCCTATTCTCAGACAGCTCAGTACGCCATTGTTGTGGAAGAAGATCTGACAGTGTCCCCAGATTTTTTCAAGTAAGTATTACATCCCCCTCTACCATTGTTGGCTGCCACCTGATTTCATGCATCTTTTCACCAGTCATCATTTCATAGTTGGCAACTGTCGCCTACTACCATCGGCAGAGTTGCATTTTTTATCTTTACTTTTTTTCAATGCCATAAAGTTTGAATGATAGTTACTTTTATAGTTGACAGTTTGAATGATTGTTACTTTCATAGTTGACAGTTTGATTGATTGTTACCTTGAATTCTTGTTGGAATAATAGTTACCTTGTCCTCTTGTGGACAGTTATTTTAGCCAAACCAAACACCTGCTGGATGAAGACTCAAGTCTCTACTGTATATCAGCATGGAATGATCAGGTGAGTGACTCAGGAAATCTGGCCACATGTTTGTGTCATCCTATTGCTATCAATGGAATCAGACAGATCGAGATAAAATCAATCTGATACCTCGGCAACGTAAGCAATCTGTATTTTCAGTAGGTCATTGAGACCATCATAGATTAATAAGCAAACTGCCATTTGAACACGCCATTCAAGCCATCGTTAAACAGTTAGCCTGTAAACTTACCAATCTTAATTTAACTGACCTATCAGGGCTATGATCATTCCTGCAAAGATCCCCGCATGTTGTATCGCATTGAAACAATGCCAGGCCTGGGCTGGATGCTGAAACGTTCACTGTACAAAGATGAGTTGGAGCCCCAATGGCCTACACCAGAAAAGGTGGGCTATCATGTTGTGTACAAGTTGGGGTGGACCACAAGAATTGGTCATTTATTATGTTGTGTAAAAGTTGGGGTAGACCACAAGCATTGGTCATTTATTATGTTGTGTAAAAGTTGGGGTAGGCCACAAGATTTGGTCATTTATTATGTTGTGTAAAAGTTGGGGTAGACCACAAGCATTGGTCATTTATTATGTTGTGTAAAAGTTGGGGTAGACCACAAGAATTGGTCATTTATTATGTTGTGTAAAAGTTGGGGTAGACCACAAGAATTCGTCATTTATTATGTTGTGTAAAAGTTGGGGTAGACCACAAGAATTCGTCATTTATTATGTTGTGTAAAAGTTGGGGTAGACCACAAGAATTGGTCATTTATTATGTTGTGTAAAAGTTGGGGTAGACCACAAGAATTAGTCATTTATTATGTTGTGTACAATTTGGTGTAGACATATCAAAGGTATAATAAGCTGTATAAAAGTTGTGGTAGACTACAAGAAAAGGTATATTATGTTGTATTAAAGTTGGGGTGGACCACAAGAAAAGATATATATTATGTTGTATTAAAGTTGGGGTAGATCACACCTAATGGTGGATTGTTATTGCTTTTAGACATTGTATTAATGGTGGATTGTTATTGCTTTTAGACATTGTCCTAACGGTGGATTGTTATTGCTTTGAGACATTGTCCTAACTGTGGATTGTTATTACTTTTATACATTGTATTAATGGTGGATTGTTATTGCTTTTAGACATTGTCCTAACGGTGGATTGTTATTGCTTTGAGACATTGTCCTAACTGTGGATTGTTATTACTTTTATACATTGTATTAATGGTGGATTGTTATTGCTTTTAGACATTCTCCTAATGGTGGATTGTTATTGTTTTTAGACATTGTCCTTACGGTGGATTGTTATTGCTTTTAGACATTGTCCTATTGGTGGATCATTATTGCTTTGAGACATTGTCCTTATGGTGGATTGTTATTGCTTTTATACATTGTCGTAATGGTGGATAAATTTCACCTTTTCTTTAAATGTAAATCTTCATTGTCAATCTGCTTGCATCTATTCATGATTCAGAGTCCAATAAAATAAATAATGTCCCCGAAATTTCCTTTCAGCAATGGGATTGGGATATGTGGATGAGAAATCAAGCTATCCGCAAGGACCGGGAATGCATCATACCGGACATAAGCCGCACTTACCACTTTGGTTCAAAGGGGCTCAATATGAATCCCTATTTCCAGGAAATTTATTTCAAGAAACACTCTCTATTGTCTGAAGGGGGAATTGAGTTAAAAGATATAGATAGGTAAGTCTGTAAAAGTAGATGTAGGAAAACAGATAGTTAAGTGTATAAAATTAGATCTGGGATTATAGATTGGTAGTCTATAAAAGTAGATGTGTGAAAATAGATAGGTAAATGTATAAAAGTAGATGTAGGAAAATAGAGAGTAAGTCTATAAAAGTATATCTAAGAATATAGATAGGTAAGAATATAAAGGTACATTTAGGTAAATTGATAAGTATGAATATTAAAGAAGATTAATGAAAATGGATAGTTAACAATATAAAAATAGATTTAGGAAATAAGATAGGTAAGAATAAAAAAGTAGATTGAGGAAAATACATAGGTAAATATAAATAAAGTAGATTTGTGAAAATAGATTGGTAAAAATCTAAAAGTAGATTTAACCTGGGTTTATTCTTGCAATTGGCAGGAATAAATATTATGATAGAAAATGGTATAAAGTTAACGAGTGGATGAATGATACACTGCAACTGTGGTGACCAATTAAAAAGATATTCTGTTGTAATATGTTTTTTAAATCCTTGTCTTTATTAAATTTTCTAATGAATACCGCATTTGTTTTTAGGTTGAAGAAGGATGAATATGAAAAGCTGATATCAGAGCTGATAGCCCAAGCCGATCCCATTGACCACAGTAAACTTCCATGCAGTGAAGATTTTATTCCTAGTCATTTGCCAAAGGTATGTTTCATAATCTGTTCAGATACTTGACCCATTCAACTTTATGTCATGCTGTAAGAATTGGACACTTGACCCATTCAACTTTATGGCATGCTGTAAGAATGGGACACTTGACCCATTCAATTTTATGTCATGCTGTAAGAATGGGACACTTGACCCATTCAACTTTATGTCATGCTGTAAGAATGGGACACTTGACCCATTCAACTTTATGTCATGCTGTAAGAATGGGACACTTGACCCATTCAACTTTATGTCATGCTGTAAGAATGGGACACTTGACCCATTCAATTTCATGTCATGCTGTAAGAATGGGACACTTGACCCATTCAACTTTATGTCATGCTGTAAGAATGGCAGGGATTGTCTTGGCAAGTCAAATTATAAATATTTCTGTCAAGCCATGAGAAACCACAAGGCAGGTCCACATGGCACATACAACATCGTGCCACTTTTGGAGTTGAATATAACACGGTATAAATGAGGTGTTTTTGTGTGTCAGGGGGTGGCACTTTTGGGAGCCAACCCCAGGCAGAATTTAGTCCAGGTATGCCGCCACTGCATACTTAAACATTAACATGCATGGGATTTACAAATAGGTTATCACTAGGCCTTCTGTTCATTGGTTTACAACAAATATAAGTTATCACTAGGCCTTCTGTTCATTGGTTTACAACAAATATAAGTTATCACTGGGCCCTCTGTTCATTGGTTTACAACAAATATAAGTTATCACTAGGCCTTCTGTTCATTGGTTTACAACAAATATAAGTTATCTCTAGGCCTTCTGTTCATTGGTTTACAACAAATATAAGTTATCACTAGACCTTCTGTTCATTGGTTTACAACAAATATAAGTTATCACTAGGCCTTCTGTTCATTGGTTTAGAACAAATATAAGTTATCACTGGGCCTTCTGTTCATTGGTTTACAACAAATATAAGTTATCACTAGGCCTTCTGTTCATTGGTTTACAACAAATATAAGTTATCACTGGGCCTTCTGTTCATTGGTTTAGAACAAATATAAGTTATCACTGGGCCTTCTGTTCATTGGTTTACAACAAATATAAGTTATCACTAGGCCTTCTGTTCATTGGTTTAAAACAAACATTTGACTCCACTCATTGGCACTTAAACTTCCTGTTAGTTTGGGTTTTCTAAAATATTCTTTTTTCATAAATGAAGATTTCTTAAACTTCATCTGTCTCCCATTCTTGATTTCCACAAGAAATGAATGCCATCAAGACTTTTGCCACACAATAATGATGGTATGTACATGTGACACTATATGTCACCCAGTAATGATGGTGTGCACATTTTGTATAACCTTAAAGGATTCCTTTTTTCCCCAGAGTGCAATATCCTCTGTTTACATCAGCATGGAGTCACCAACTGACTTTGACACATGGAAGGTGCTGGCTAAATGCCTGCACTTGTGGGATCTGGACGTCAGGGGATTCCACAAGAGTATGTGGAGACTCTTCTTCAACAACCATCAGCTCATAATTATTGGAACACCTGCTTCACCTTACTCAGTTACAAAACCGGCAAATATTGAACCCATAAAGGCTAAACAAGAGGAGGTAACTCACAGGTAGCCTGGCTTCGGACAGCACGTTGTTGTACATGATACTTTCACACGGCTAATATGTGATTTACAGTGTTGTGAGATGTGTTGCTTGTTACTGTTAGGGGATCTGTTGGTTGTTACTGTTGGGTGATCTGTTGGTTGTTTCACAGTGCTGGGGGGGGGGGATGACCTGTTGACGGCTTCACTTTTTCATATCATATAATAATATTGTTTGTTAATTTATAAAAGTTGTTACTGGCGTCATAAATAATTGGTCACAGACTTCTTGATATTGACATGATTTGGAAAAAAAAACACATTTTTTCATGGATGCAAATTGAAAGCAAAAATATCTTCATATTGACATGAACAGCTAAAAGCAATTTTATTCATTAAGTAGTTTTGTTACAAAAACAAATATTCTAACATGGCTGTCTCTTCACTGAAAAGATCTTATTAGTTTGTATTTTTTAAAGTGACAGAGCATGAAAATATATTTTACTATTTAAAAATGCCTGGTCAATTTGTAAAGTATAAAATTTTAATTTAAAAAAAAAAATATGTATAGTTTATACAGGCATATACAGATTAGAATGTGAATTATTTCTGTTAAAATTTTTTTTTAATGAATTGAGATAATTGATGTTTATGTTATTGAGATTATTTTAATTTGTGTCTAGATTGTAACATGTGTGCTTAGATTGTAAAATTTCAATCTAGAATTGTAACTTGTGATGGAATGAACTGAGACAGTCATGTATACTTCATTTATAAGGCATCACCGTAACTTCCCCTCATATTTACTGCTGATCTATCATAATAGAACTTCAGTTATACATTTCATTTTTGTAAACAAAATATACATTCAAACTTGTTAATCATATTTTTAATCATTTTAATTCATTGTTTAATGCCATTTTTGGAATAAGAATCCCATAATGATTGAAACATTAATGTACATATGATGCCAAATTAATATATAATATAAAAATATACAAGCAACCCTCATACAGAAAATTATCTTCAAGGAAAAAAAAAGAACTCCACAAATGACCAGATGTTTCTCTTAACTTTTACCGTAATTGATTGTATATTTAAACTGTTACTTTTAAACAATTTTGTTGCTGGTCTGTACATTTTTTTATCATGGGCATTTGTTTTTAGATATGAATTGATATATGAAGGGTTCAAGGGAAAAACCAGTGATGTCAGGTTTTTAGAAAAATTGATAATAAAGTTTTAAAATTCCTCATGAAAACATCAAAATGTCTAAATATTTATTTATTGACTATGCTGTTTTTTCAGTTGGGCCTATGTGTCAGATTATTCTATTGAATGGAATGTAGCCACACAGGAGATAACTTGCAAATTTAAAAAAACTGACATCACTGGATTTTCCCTTGAACTTGAACCCTTCATATGGATTAATGTACAGATTAATATATGGATTAATGTGTTGATTTAGTTCTTGGCAACTAAGTTTATAACATAAAAACACAAATCAGAAGTCACAGAATGTGAGTTCAGGGCAGAGATTTCCAAACTCACACACCTTGGAACCCCACACCTTGAATCCCCACACCTAAGACCCCCTCACCTTTAACCCTCTCACCTTGGACCCCCTCACCTTGAATCCCCACACCTTGAATCCCCATACCTTGAAACCCCACACCTTGGACCCCTCACCTTGGACCCCCTCACCTTGGAACCCCACACCTTGAATCCCCCTCACCTTGGAACCCCACACCTTGAATCCCCCTCACCTTGGAATCTCACACCTTGAATCAAATCCCCCTCACCTTGGAACCCCACACCTTGAATCCCCCTCACCTTGGAATCTCACACCTTGAATCCCCACACCTTGAATCCCCACACCTTGAATCCCCCTCACCTTGGAACCCCACACCTTGAATCCCCCTCATCTTGAACCCCCTCAGCTTGGACCCCTATCTGGAGAAGAACCGCCCACCTCTCATCACTTTTGGTGTGTAAGATCTAGGCCTATGATCTGTAAATATCAATAATATTATTGTTCTTTGAAAAAGCCAACAGCCAAACATAATGAATCTCTTGATGTAATGTGATACTGCACATTGTGTGAGGCCGCTCCACATCCTCATCCTCATGTCCCTTAGTCCTTGGACCGTTGGGGTGCCACAGATGACATGTGAACCATCCTCATCCTCATGTCCCTTAGTCCTTGGACCGTTGGGGCGCCACAGATGACATGTAAACCATCCTCCTCCATTCGTCTCTGTCTTCAGCACTACGCACTGCATCGCCCGGTGTTAATCCTGTCCACTCTTTGATGTTATCCTCCCATCTTTTTCTTTGTCTTCCTCTTCTTCTCCCTCCTCTTATCTTGCCCTGCAATATTTCTTTGGCAAGCCCTTGTTTCCTTGTTACTTGGCCGTACTATTGTAGTTTGCGTTTTTTCACAATCACCAGTAGGTCGTCGTACTTCCCAATTGCCTGACGAACCCTTTCTTTCACTGTATCATTGGAGATATTGTCGCTATAGCAGATGCCAAAAATGCTTCTGAAGCATCTCATCTCCATCGCCTTTATTTTCCTTTCAAGATCGGCTGATAATGGCCAGGATTCGCAGGCATACAGGAAAATGGTGACGACTAATGAGCGCATCAGCCTGATTTTGGTGCTGGGGGCTATAATTTTGTCATTCCATATTTTCTTGCGCTCCTTTAGTGCTGTTGTAGTCTGCGCAATCCTGGACATCAGTTCGGGCCTGGAGCCTTCTTCTGAGATTATTGCTCTCAGGTATTTTAAGCAGCCGACAGTCTCTAATCTTTCCTCCCCGACCTTAATTTCAGTGGTGATGCCTGCGGTATTATTTGTCATCAGTTTTGTCTTTTCGGCACTGATTAGCATGCCGTAGGACTAGGAGGTCTTATCGAGACGCTTTACCGGGTTGGCTAGCTCTTCTTCGTTCCCAGCCAGTCCGTCTATGTCGTCAGCAAAGCGCAGGTTGGTGATTGTTCTGCCACCAATGCTGACTGTCCCTTCATGCGCTTCCAGAGAATCTGACATAATTCTCTCTAGGAAGATGTTGAATAGGGTGGGAGAGAGCAGGCAGCCTTGTCGTACTCCAACCATGGTCTTGAACCATTCTCCAATGTTGTTGTTGAGGAAGACTACACTGGTGGCCTTATAAAGGTTGCATATCATGCTGGTTAGGTTTGTGTTGATGTTGAAGTGCCTCATGGCGGCCCATAAAGCAGCATGCCAAACCCTGTCAAATGCTTTCTTGAAGCCAACAAAAACGTGGTATAGGTTTTGTTGGTGTTGAGCATATTTCTCACATAGTATTCGGAGGTGTAGAATCTGCTCAGTAGTGCCCCGTCCTTGTCTGAAGCCCGCCTGTTCTTCAGCAATGATTCTGTCGGCATATGGTTTTAGTTGGTTCACTATGATCTTCAGCATGACCTTGGTTGGATGGCATATTAGGCTAATGGTGCGATAGTTTTGGCATAGCTGTAGGTTACCTTTTTGGGGGAGGGTGACGATGAGCGATTGGGTCCATGGTTTGGGCTCCACATACTGCACTTTAAAATGCCACGAGGGAATAGCCCTTGTTGTGATTCATCAAAACTATGTTCATGTAAATATCATATCCATCCATCCCTGTGGCTCTACAGCCCATGTAGGACTTTGGCATGCCTCACCACTTCCTTCAACCCAGTCCTAACTGATGCTTTTATTTTCCATGCTTGGAGTCCCCGCTGCTGTAGATCTTTTTCCATATACATATATATATAATATAATAGGTGTAAATAATTTTGCATACTTGTATAAGTTAATTCCCTTAGTTATTCATTTTGAATCCTAGTTCATGAATTTAAATCCTCTTTTGGAGCCTGGTATTCTGTACAAACATTTTGGGATCAATGAGTTTCCAATCAGGCATAATAGTTGCACTGAGCAATAGTAGCATAATGCTCACATGTCAGATCTGACGATTCTAAAGAGTTACATTGCCATTAATGAGAGCAAAATAAAGAAAACTCCCTTTTGATGGGCCTGGCATACGTGAGTTAGGTGGAAGATTTTAACGTCATCTGTGAAACACTGCAATAGTTCAATATGTTACCCATTACTACAGCAGAAGTACAATGAATTACCCAATAGTACAACTAAGACATTGATTTAACATTCTGTCACTTTATAACAAACCATTTTTCTGTTGATAACATTTTCTTATTTAAAGAGTCATTGATTTCTTTGTTATATTTTCATTTCTATTGTTGGCTGAGGAAGGCTTTATGCTGAAACGTCCTTGTTTTTTGTCCTGTTACCTTATTTCAAGCTTCCACATACCTCGTTTCACTATTTCATTCAGTCCCAACATACAGAGGTGGCCCTGTCCATCCAAACGTACTGGAATGTTGTAATTGTACAAACAACTCATCGCAGTGTGTTGTCTTGTATACTGTTAAATTTAATCAGCGTTAAAAGTATTATGCATAATATCTTAGTGGCAGACCTGTTTACCCTCAAACTATAAAAATCGTACAACATCACAAAGTCATTCAATACATGATCTAAATAGTAAACAAAAAAAGCATAAAGTATATAAAATTCTTCAAAAGTGTACATTGTACGCCAAAATTGTAAGAGTAAACAGGTCTGTAGTGGCAAAGATGAACATTTTAGAAAATATATCCTTAAAATTTTTAATAAAATCAAATAATTTTAATTTCAAATTCTAAGCCATATTATTATAGTCATGTATTTATGTTATGCATGTTTATAATCTTCAACTGCATAACATTTGATTTTTGTGTCAATGAAAAATATACAATTGATGTAAGAGTAAGAGAGAGAGAGTCCCAGACATGTGTTTATCCGTTTACCAGTGCCAGTGATTTACTGGCATGATGCCACTGTTATGAAAATGCTCTACAACTGCTGAGTTTTCAACTAATAATATTCTTGCTACTTCTAATCATCGCCATCGCATCTCTCGTATTTACATCCTATCCATCATCACAGTAACTTCCCTTATATTAAATCCTATCTATCATCACAGTAAATTTCACAAATATTTACAGCTGATCTTTCATCACAGTAACTTCCCTTATATTTACATCATATTTATCATCACAGTAACTTTTACTTATATTTACAGCTGATATATTAACACATTAACCTCCCCTCATATTTACAGCTGATCTAGCATCACAGTAACTTCCCTTCTATTTACACCTGATCTAGCATCACAGTAGCTTCCCTTCTATTTACAGCTGATATATTATGTCATCACGGTAGCTTCCCCTATATTTACAGCTGATCTAGCATCACAGTAGCTTCCCCTAATATTTACAGCTGATTTATCTTCTGGTTAAAGATATTTCAAGTCAGAAATAAGATTAAAATATATCAATTTGTTTCTATGAGTACTATGACCATTTTTTAAAAGTAATATTTTAAAATATTGCAGATATGTTTCAGTTAAATTCTAGTCACATTTCTACATATTTTATGTTCAATATGTTTTCCCACTTTCAAAATTGCCCACTAAAAACACTAGTTTGTTTTATTTATTATGTTAGATGATGAATACTTTTTTTGTGCTAGCACAAAAGTGATGGGCTTAAATCTCAAGCTCCCATTTAAGTAAAGGCACACTTTTTGTTGTCTTTTTATTACTACTTTAGTCATACTATTTTAACATTCTGTGAAGGGTATCCGGTACTTTGTACCAGGATGCAAAAATTATCCGCTCATATAAGATGCACAGAATTTATTTTGAATGCTCACATATAATTGCTGCAACTTATTTGATGAGCTGTCTTTATAAACATGCCATTTTGTATGATAGACATAATGACTATAACTTATACACTTGATCGTTCTACATTCCTTTATCTAATCTATACTATTGTAATGCATACTGTATTAATGAAAAGCAACTTAGAATACAAATATGTTCTGTAATAATTCCACAAAATATATATATTATACCTAATGAATCAACAAAACAAGGTTTTTCTATTTTATTTCAAATTTTTTAAATGTTTATTTTGTACATTGTTATATTTATTTTAAGTCTCCAAACATGTTTCAACATAACCTGTTGCATTTTTTCAACATAACCTGTTGAATGGTTTCGACATCACCTGTTGAGTTGTTTCAACATCACCTGATAATTTTGTTTCAGCATAACCTGTTGAGTTTTTGACGTTGCAACATCACCTGATAATTTTGTTTCTACATAATCTGTTGAATTGTTAACATCACCCAGTAATATTGTTTCAACATCACATGGTACTATTATTTCAACATCACAAGGTAATATTATTTCAACATCACAAGGTAATAATGTTTCAACATCACCTGTTGAATTGTTTCAACAGTTCATTTGTTTATCAAGCTGCAGCATCCACCAGACCAATAAATTATTGTTTAGTTTCAGAATGAAGTTACAGGAATTCAGACTGCTTTGAATATAGAACTTCCTATTATTTTAAAACTAATAACAAAAAAGGTTAATGTCCTTGCCTTTGTCAAAGTCTGCCTAAACACCATGCTTCTAATATATTTAACATTATTGGTCATCACCCAGAAATAGATGTACCATGACAATTTAAATATTTTTATATAATTTGGCTATTAGATAATTAAATTGTGGTGCATTTAGCTCGTAGTAATGCATTAAAAAGGGCTCAAATTTATGGTTGAAGAATTCTTTTA